TCTCTGGAAGTCACTGCTGCCACATTTGAGAACTACAGCTTCAAGACAACTATGAAATCGACCCCTCCCCCACCCCCACCCCAGGTGATGTGGGGGGTGGCGGCCGGTTGGTGGCTCTAAAACATTTCCATGTGGCTGCAGGGTTGTCTCCCTTCTATGTTAACACTAAGCCTCACGGACTTGAGTTAATGCATTCGCTTATGAGTGTCTTTGCACAGTGTTCTCTTACTTGGTAGATGCTCAGTCAGTATTCACTGTGTATGAACGGGAAGCCTGCTTGATCAGACTCATGTTGGGGTTTCTAGTTTAATGATGATTATTTGAGACAAAGTCTTGCTGGGCCTCAAATTTACAATCCTCCTGCATCCACCTCCCTAGTACCAGGCTTGCAGGTGTGAGCCTCCACAACTGTCAATCATGATTATCTTAATAACAGGGATTGCATCATTTAGGCAACACTGAGAAATGCTTCCTTGAAGCTGCTACGTTCTGTGCTAGAGCTGAGGCTTTCAAGGGGGCCTAAAGGTGGCCCCAGCATGAATGCAGGAGTGCTCAACTCTGAGACCTAGTCCAGGAGACCAAAGGGAACCTCTAGAGGGGAAGGCTCAGGGGTTGCTCCCTGGAGGGGGAAATGTTACTCTGCTGAGGCTGGTGTACTGCATGCCACCACGGGAACTCAGTGGAGAAGTCTCCCAACAAAGACACCGGTATGCATGCATACAGACTCAGAGCTGTAGGCTGATCCTGAATCCCTCCAGGCTACTTTGGGGTAACCTGCTGGAGCAGTCAGGCTGCTTGTTCTCTTTGCTTTCTGCTGCTGTCCCTGGGTTTCCATGGGTCATCTGTTCCATCAGGTTGATTACGGTTAGCCAAGGAAGCCTGAGGCCACCGCTGCTCTGGCCTTCTCCTGACTTTCAGCACAGTCTTCCATGGCTCATGTCTCCATTTCCTCTGACCTCAACCTCCCAGAGTCCTCCATATCGGCCAAGAGATTTTCATTTTTCATTACTTGGTTGAAAAGAATTTTTAAAACTTGAAACAGGATGAACAGCTCACAAACACCTGTAATTCCAACTCCAGAGGCATCTGCTGCCTCTGAGGGCACCTGCATCATGTACACACACATACACTTCAAAATAAAATAAATCCCTAAAACAAACAAACAAACAAACGAACGAACGAACAAATAAATAAATAAATAAATAGAGACAGAGTCTCACTTTGTAGCCCAGGCTGGCCTTGAACTCTCAATCTTCCTGCCTTGGCCTTCCTAGTGCTGAGATTTGGAGGTAGGTGCTGCCACACCAGTGAGTGGCATTGGAGAGAATGGAATCCATGGGATTCTGGGGAACCCTCACTGGGAATGGAATCCATGGCCCTTGCTCGTGGTAAGCAAGTGTTCTGCCACTGAGTTCCAGCCCTGGTTCTTTGATAGCTTTTCCTTCAAAAGACCAACGTCAGGCTTCTAATAGCTACAGGTGGCCAGTGGGACTTTAGGTACTGGGGCAAGAGCTCAGGAGCTGAGAGTGCAGGCCCAGACCAGAAGGGTTAAGACCTTACTTAGTGTTAGAAGAGGAGCCACACTACAGGTCAGCGCACTGGCTTGGCATAAGTTCCTTGTTTCTCCGAGTCTCGGTTTACAGTCTGTGAAATAGGTATTATAATAATAGGCCTTCCACATAGGATTGCTGGGAGGCTAAGATAATGTATGCTTAAGAGCACTTAGTCTGATGCCTCAGCTACGGTAAACACTTCGCAGAAGTCGGTATCAGTACTATTAAGACTATTATTTTTATGATTAATTATTACTAAGCTGCATAGTGTCCATAGTGGAGTTTGAGTTCTAAAATCCTGAGTCACTGGAGGAAGGAAGGCGTCAGAAGCAATTTAAGCTTATTTATCACCCACTGGCACCTTCCCCTTCGCTTCCGGGAAGCTCTCTGGGGATGGAGGAGGAAGGACAGCTTGCTTGGATTGGTCCCCTCCAAACGCGCATGGTGATAGGGATGCACAGGGCTTGCCCATCTTTGGCTGTAGTGAAGGTCTTGTTAGTATCCAGACGAGCATCTATTCATTGCCTGAGCTCTTTCTGTTTTTATTTTTATTTTTATTTTATTTTATTTTTTGGTTTTTCGAGACAGGGTTTCCCTGTGTAGTTTTGGTGCCTGTCCTGGATCTCACTCTGTAGACCAGGTTGGCCTGGAACTCACAGAGATCCACCTGGCTCTGCCTCCCAAGTACTGGGATCAAAGGCGTGCACCACCACTGCCCAGCTTGAGCTCTTTCTTACCTTCCTGGGTCTGAGAACTACTCAGTGCTTCCAAACACCAGGGTTTGGTTCAGTGCTGTCTGTCTCCATCTTCAAATTCTTAAAACTTTTGAACAAGGTCTCCACATTTTTATTTGGCTTCACACTTGGCCTGGTAGGTCTACACTCTTTTTTTTTTTTTTTTTTAGAGATTTATTTATTTATTATGTATATAGTGTTCTGCCTGCCAGAAGAGGGCGCCAGATCTCATTACAAATGGTTGTGAGTCACCATGTGGTTGCTGGGAATTGAACTCAGGACCTCTGGAAGAACAGCCAGTGCTCTTAACCACTGAGCCATCTCTCCAGCCCAGAGCTACACTCTTTTTGTCTGTCTGTCTCTCTCTCTTTTTTTCTGGTGTTCCTGTGTGTAGTATATGTGTGTGTGCAGGCAAGAGTGTGTGCACATACAAGTGGAGGTTAGAGGTTCACATCAGGTATGAAGAGTTAATGACCTAAAAAGCCCAGGGGAACTGAAAAGCTCTAGACAGGCCAATTGACTTGACTGATGACACCTGTGGATGTTAGGGTCCCAGGAGGAGCCACAAACCACTTTCTGTCCTGTTTACCCCTTTTTTTGTTTGTTTGAGACAATGTTTCTCTGTCCTGTAATTCTCTATGTAGACTAGGCTGGCCTCAGACTCACAGAGATCCACCTGCCTCTGCCTCCCAAGTGCTGGGATTAAAGGCGTGCAGCTGTTTGGGGGTGTCTACCACTTTGAAAGTGCAGGGGGAACTGACCTGCACATGAAACCTTTCATCCACCCCTTGTCTGCCCTATAAAGCCCCCAAGCTCCCTGTGCCTTTGTGCGAACAGTCCCCACTCCAGAGAGAGTGTGGCCCTTTAGCTGTTCTGACTAGAGGAAGAATTCTGCTTCTGAGGATGCCTGTCTGTCTGCTCTCTTTTCTTTCCACATCACCTCCATCAAGCCCAGTTTAACTAAGGGTTTTCCTCAGTTGCTCTCCACCTTGTATTTTTGAGATACGACCTCTCACTGAACCTGAGCTCATCAGTATGGTCAGGCTGCCTTGTCAGTGGGCTCCTAGGGTCCATCTGTCTCCATCTACACTGGGACTACAGATGCTATGCCCAGCTTTGATGTGGGTGCTGAGGATCTGAACAGGTCTTCCTGTTTCTACAACAGACCCTTTACTGACTGAATCATCTCACCAGCCTCCCTAGTTAAACTCTCACAGAGAAGGCATCTTCTACAGAAAACAAAAAGAACTAAGGTAAACAGATGAGATGATGGGCACAGATTTACACAGTAAGGAGCCACTGGCTGGAGTGGACGGGAGGAAGAGCCCCACCACCAAGCTTCCTTTGGTACCAAACTGTCCAGTGCACCACCCTGTCCAAGGCTCTCCACCCTAGACTCAGGCTTTTCTTAGAGACTTGGCAAGGTCCTGCGTCCCAGAGTCTGCCTGGATGAACAGGGTCATGAATCAGCAGTCTCTAGCATGGCTTCAACAGGCTAAAAGACGTGGTAGAGTAGCCACGGAATTCGACACTCAGGAACCCGATGCCTGGTCTTTGGTCTGGTCTGTCTTCTGCTCTGAGAGTCATCTAAACTGGCATCCTGCTGCTTGAGCATGATGGTGGGCAGGGATGCTCAGACACTGGGGCTATCGGGTTGTAGCCTGTTTTTTTATTTGTTTGTTTTTGTTTAGTAGTACTAGGCTTTGAATCAGGGTTTTTTTTTTTTTTTTTTTTTTTTTTTTTGGTTTTTCGAGACAGGGTTTCTCTGTGTAGCTTTGCGCCTTTCCTGAATCTCGCGCTGTAGACCAGGCTGGCCTCGAACTCACAGAGATCCGCCTGCCTCTGCCTCCTGAATCAGGGTTTTATGCATAGACACTCTTCCACTGAGCTAAACTCCCAGCTCTTCCCTGCCTCTTCTAAAACAAGGTCTCTGTGAGCGGTCCAGACTGGCCTCAAACTGGTGATCTTAATTCAGTCTTCCTGAGTGCGGAGGTGCCAGGCATGCACTATTATGCCTAGCTTCTAGCCACTGTTTTGTTTTGTTCTGTTTTGTTCTTGAGGCAAGGTCTCACGTAGCTGGCGTCTAACTCCTGATCCTCCTGCCTCTACCTCCCAAGTGCTGGGATTATAGGTGTGTGCCAACAGGCTGGACTTAGCTGCTTTCTATTCCACATATATTGGACATTTTGGAGAAACTGATCCTGAAAAATGCAGTCTTTTGGTTATCTTCTGTCAAGTGGACAAGACAGACAATCTTAAGTAAACACATGCAGTTGGTTTCCCCAGTGCTCTGTTCTCTTCCTCTGCGGGAAAACTCAGCTTGAAGTAATGATGTTATTGGTAATATGGATGTGAACTGTGTGCCCATCCTGGCTGGTGCCACAACATTTGGAATGTGGCTGGGAGTAAGATTAATCTTAATCTTATGTTGCTCCTGATAAATCATGAATGCATACCTGAAATTCCATTGGGGATCTGTTCCTAGGAGTAAGCATTATTCTTTCCTTCCTTCCTTTTTTCCCCCTCTCTTTTTGATCTTGTTTAAAATTCCAGTCCTTGGTGATGGCAATGGGGATTGTCCACTGTACTCATAACCTGACCATACTGGGCCGGGAGACAGGGCTGCTCAAAGGCCCTGCCTGGACTTTAAGGGTTGCTCCCTGATGGGTACTACAAGACAATCCAGAAATAAAAGTCTTCATCACTCTGCCTCTGACTCATCCCAGCTCTGCCTGCAGAAGTGGGAGCCCAAAAGAGATAGGGGGAATGCAGAATCCAGACCAGCCTCACCGTGATAGCTTGGGGTTACTTGCAGGGCCCTGCAGGACCTGCTGCATCAGATCTGCTCCTCCTTTCTGGATTCTTCTGGGATGGTCATGCTTTACCTTAGTGTCAACTCTGGCTGCTCACAGATTGAGCTCAGGTGGTAATGTTTGGTAGGAGGTGCCCTTACTCGCAGGAACATCTCACGGGTGCTCGAGGTTCTTAAAACTCACTCAACCCTCCTTTGCTACTCTTCTGTAAGCTTATCTGCTCTCTTGCCCAGAATCAAACGTGGCATTCTATCTGGGGCCAGGAGACGGAAACAGAAATCAGTCACACCAGAGGGTCTGTGAGCAGGACAAGCATGTTCCCTGTGATAACTAGAGCACTGCCTCGGGCGTGACCAGGCTACCCAGCCAGTCCAGTGTACAAGAATCTGCAGGCTTCCTTCCTTGCTTGCTTCCTTCCTCTGAGATCCTCCCTCACCGTCTTACCTGGGGGCAGGTAATAAAGCAGGAGGAGGAGATGGATGGACAGGGAGGGCGGGGAGACACGTGGTGCCATAAAGCCTAGCTAGAGAGGGCCTGTCCAGAGAGTGTCCAGCCAGCAAGCGCCAACAGCCAGAGTGGACCAGCAGCTCTTTGGACCCGAAGCTGAAGCTGCAGGACCAGGGCTTAGGCCATGCTCCGAGGCACGCCAGGACTAGGCCTCAGGGGCCTGAAGCGGAGTGAGGGTTCTGTGGAGGACTTGGGGCGCCCTTGCCCCGAGGCTGGCAGGAATTTTGGAGTGCTGAGGCGCAGCCTGGACGAGGCAGAGGAGGCGGCAGGCAGAAGGCGCGAGCGGCCGGCACGGTCCAAGGCTCGGCGCATGGCGGCCAACGTGCGGGAGCGCAAGCGCATCCTGGATTACAACGAGGCGTTCAACGCGCTGCGCCGGGCGCTGCAGCACGACCTGGGCGGCAAGAGGCTCTCCAAGATCGCCACGCTGCGCAGAGCCATCCACCGCATCACTGCGCTCTCCCTGGTCCTGCGCGCCAGCCCGGCGCCCCGCTGGCCCTGCGGCCACCTGGAGTGTCACGGCCAGGCTGCTCACGGCTCAGGTGCCGGGGACTCCGGCTTCAGTGCTCCTCGGTCCGCGCCGCCGCCCGCAGCGCCTGGCCTCGCGCGCAGGGACGTCACCAGCTCCTTCGTGCCGCCTGCACCGCGCTGCGCTTCGTGCTCCCCGCACGCGCACTTGGGGCGGCCCAGGGTGATGGCCGAAGGGCCCACTTTGTCCCAGGCCTCCAGCGGAAGCTGGCGCCGATGTCCCGGGGCTCCCCCTGTTGGACCGATTTCGTGGCGGTGGGGCTCCGGGATGGGCTACCAGCACTCCTGACCCGGCGGCCACCGAGAGGGACACCAGGTTGGTGGAATGATGACTGAAAAAGAGAAGACTGCAAAAGTCATCCTGGACACAGCAAAACTGAATGGATTGCGACTTGAGTGGCAGAGGAAGCTGCCTTACCAGTGGGAAGGAACCCTGGGAACCGGGGCAGCCTCCCAGCCTTGGTTGCTGAAAAAGGAGTGAGATCTTAGGTTTGGACTTGGTCAACCTTTTCTTCCTGGAAAATGGCCTTTGCTTTCCTGTGCTTCTGAGCCCTTGTTTCTCTTGCCGCATTTGGACAGTGGGACTTGTGGGGTTTTGTGGGTAGACAGCTGCTGTGATCTGAGGGCACATGCTGTGGCCCTCTTACCATGTTTGGGGGGCTGCTGATCTGAGAGGTCCGGAAAATGACCAAATAAAAAGGGAAAGTGTCTTGTCCGTCTGCTACCAGGACTCCACTGAGTTCAGTGACTTGGTGTGACAGGAAAGCCTCGGAATCTGGGGATTACTTTGGAAGGGTGGGTAGGAACTACAGCCCCCCCCCCCCCCAGGCATCCGTGCACTGGTTTATAGCAAGACCCTGGGAATGGCTGGACCCGGGGAAAGAGAAATCTAGAGAAATTCCTCCCTGTAGCCTCCCATCAGAGGCTAAGGTCATTGTCAGCCTTACCTGTGAGCCTCATTCAGGCTGCCTTGAGAAGAGTCAAGGGCAAGGTCAGGGGTTTGGGGTCAGGGACCCAGAGTGACAGGCAGAGATCTCAGCCAATAGAGCGCCAGGACTTCTGTAGCGAGGTAGACTAGATATTCAGAAGGGTTTTGAGGAGCGGGTTGGGGGAAGAGTGGTCTTAGGCCATGGCCAAGGGCGGTGCAGGAGCACCTTTCCCTGAGAATGATGGAGAACTGGCCAGCTATAGGATGGGTTCCTGCTGGGGGTGCTAACGTGGCAGGCACTGTTTGCTGGGCCGTTGCCACCTCTGGATGGAGGCTGCACAGATGGCACAGGCACAGACAGACTCAGGAGAATGCGGGTTTCTCAGCACAGTCGAGGTGAAGTTCATGGCCACAACTGAAGCTATCTGCTTTCTGTGACATCCTGTCTCCAGTCAGAGCCTTAAGGCTCCTGTTTTCAGCCAAGGTTGTGAGCCAGTCCGCAGGCTTCTGCTCTGGGTCTAGACAGGAGCAAAGTATGAGACTAGAGCTTCGGTCCTGTCCCTAAGTGGGTGGACGCTGGAAAGAAAGAACCTGGGCCTGCCTGGGATCGACCTCCCTGCTCCTTCATCTCTGATGTGGATAGTTTCCAGCGGTTGTTTATAAACTGTTACTGTTCAGTACTACAATTCTATGTTTGGGAGGCCCAGACAATGCTTTACCCGTGTTTTACCTTCAGGGACTTTTTCAATGGAAATAAGATAAATAACTAGCAAATCCTATTTTCCTAAATTCTAAGATAACAAGATTTTTCTCACCCAATCGCATTCTTCACCTAAGGACAGTGTTGGCACCCCCTATGGGTAGAACTAGGGTATGCAGCACAGAGATGAGCCATCTTGAGTGAATCGCCTAAGCTCTTTGTATAATGGGCTACAGTCAGTTGTGACATCACGAGCTGCAGTACAGAGCTAACGAGTCACATGTTTTTAAAGCACCTGGCAGAGTGTCTAGCTCCTCCGTGAACACTCACTGGAAGCTATTTAATCAATCCGTTCCCGAGGCTGCTTTAAGAGACTGTAGGGAAAGGTGTTTAGAAGCCATGGAGTCTGCAGCGCGGTTCCTTTTATCGCTTTATCAGGACTCTGTGTTGGAGTGCTGGGATGCTGATACGGATTTGCCTATCATGAAATCTTTTGGCGCATACGTATTGTATATGGACTTATGTAGATGAATGGCTGAGCGAAGATGTGTGCGTTCATGTATGTACCAACCTAACAGGAGCTGCTTCCTCTTCCCCATGCTTTAGGGGGATCCCAAGCCAGAAGAGCCTCAATTATGTGTCTACATCATTCTTCTACAAAGTGTTTCTACAACGTTTGCATGAGTTTTGAAAAAAAAAAATTTGCTTCCCAAGATCGTGGCCACTCTCCTAGATGAGTGATCCTGTAAAAGAAAGATAAATTTGAGACTATTAAAGAGATGGTGCTTATCAACTGAGACCAGATGGGTTGGTCCAAACATAGCAAAAAAAAAAAAGAGAGAGAGAGAGAGAGAAAGAGAGAGAGAGAGAGAGAGAGAGAGAGAGAGAGAGAAAAGAGTACAATGGGTATGATTTAAAATGCTTATTAAAAGAAAAGTGGCCGGCGGGGGGCAAAAAAAAAAAAAAAAAAAAAAAAGAAAAGTGCCCAAAAGGGAAAGCCCACTACAATAGTGCTGATATATATATATATATATATATATATATATATATATATATATATATACCCTGATATGCATGAAGAAATTCTTTACGCAAGATTAGTAAAAACATCACTCAGTCTCCCAAGGGGATTTTTATATCATTTTTATATTATTATTATTATTATTATTATTATTATTATTATTAGCAGTAGAAGTATTGGTACTTTTAAAAGTTTGCCTGAATTTAAAAAAAAGTTTTATTTGTATTAGTTTTAATTGTGTGTGTATGTGTATGGGGGTGGTATGTGCACATGAGTGCAGGTGCCCTCAGAATCCAGAAAAGGGTACTAGATCCTCTGAAGCTGGGGTTGAGTGTAGTTGTGAGTCACCTAATACGGGTGCTGGGAACTGAACTCTGGTCCTCTGCAAGAGCCACACATGCTCGCCAACCCCCTTACTGGTTTTTAAAATTTTATTGTGGTTTATTCATTTTAATTTTTGTGTGTTTTGCCTGTTTAGATGTCTGCACACCATGTACATGCTTGGTGCCTACAGAGGTCAGGAGATCCCCTAGAATTAAAGTTACACATGGTTGTGGGCCACCATGTGCATGCTGGGAGTTGAGCCCAGATCCCCTGTAAGAGCAATAAGTGCTCTTAACAGCTGAGCCATCTCTCCAGCCGGTTAAATCCTTAGTACTGGGATTAAAAGTGTATACCACCATGCCCAGTTCTCTCTCTCTCTCTCTCTCTCTCTCTCTCTCTCTCTTTCTCTCTCTGTGTGTGTGTGTGTGTGTGTGTTTACTTGCTTTTGTTTTGTTTTTTGGGATAGTACCTGCTTGGAAAGCCCAGGGTGGCCAGGAACTCACCATTCTCCTGCCTCAGTCCCGGAAGTGCTGAGCTCACAGGCCCGTGCCGCTAAGCCTGTCAGAGGCTGACTTCTAATGGCAGAGAATACAAAAGCTGCATTACTTTAGCATCTTCACAGCTCAGGGCTCTGCAGTCTACTTGTCCAGCTGGGGCAGGGCTCAGCACTCTCATCCCCAGGCAGGTTGGGCCGTGTGAACAAGGAATTGGTCGAAGAGTTCAAAGCTCTTCAGGTCTCAATATCTTCATATTAAAATTCTGAAACCCCATTTTTTTCGTTTGTTTATTGTTTTTTTTGAGACAGGGTTTCCCTGTGTAGCTTTGGAGCTTGTCCTGGAACTCACTCTGTAGACCAGGCTGGCCTCAAACTCATAAAGATCCACCTGTCTCTGCCTCCCGAGTGCTGGGATTAAATGCATGCACCACCACCACCCGGCTGAAACCCCAATTTTTTTTTTTTTTTTTCGAGACAGGGTTTCTCTGTGTAGCTTTGCGCCTCTCCTGGGACTCACTTGGTAGTCCAGGCTGGCCTTGAACTCACAGAGATCCGCCTGGCTCTGCCTCCCGAGTGCTGGGATTAAAGGCGTGTGCCACCACCGCCCGGCTTTTTTTTTTTTGTTTTGTTTTGTTTTTTGTTTTTGTTGTTGTTGTTGTTTTTTTCCAATTTTTATATGGAGTAAGTTAAAACAAAAAAATTGTTAAGGGTTGGGGAGACGGCTCAGTAGGTAAAGTCACATGCTGCCAAACCTGACAACCTAAGTCTGACCTCAGGGACCTCCAGAGTGGAAGAAGAGACCCAGCTCCTTCTAGCTGTCCTCTGACTTCCATATGTTTGCCATGGCACACACATGCACCCACCCCCAACACAATAAATAAATGTAAGAAGAATATTTTTTAAGAAGAGAGGGCAAGCCGGGCGGTGGTGGCGCACGCCTTTAATCCCAGCACTCGGGAGGCAGAGCCAGGTGGATCTCTGTGAGTTTGAGGCCAGCCTGGACTACCAAGTGAGTTCCAGGAAAGGCGCAAAGCTACACAGAGAAACCCTGTCTCGAAAAACCAAAAAAAAAAAAAAAAAAAAAAAAAAGAAGAAGAGAGGGCAATGGAGGGATAGGGGAAAAAAAACTACCATGTGTTAGAACCCAGGAGATGCCTTAGTTAGTGACTACTGGGGGATCTGAGCTCAGCACCTAGCATCCATGTCAACCAGGTGTGCACATCCCTGTCATCCCGGCACTGGGGAGGCAGAAAGAGGAAAATCCCGGGGCTTGCTTGCTGTCCGGCCAGGCTAGCTAATCAGCAATCTCCAGGTTCAGTGAATGACTCTGTCTCAAAAGCTAAGGTTGAGAGTGATTGAGGTTGAGAGGACACTTGATACCAGTGTCTGGCCTCTACACACACATATCCATATATGTGTATGTATATTTATGCATATAAGTATATATATATGCATATAAGTACACACACACACACACACACACACACACACACACACACACACACACACAAACAGTACTGTGTAGGCCAAGTCCACCCTAGAATGGATAGAATCCATGAGCCTCCCTGGGTCCTGGATGGGACCCTATCTGGGACTACCGCATAATGGACCAGCACACTTGTGTCACTGGCCGGGTTGGATTCATCTAGAAACATGAAAACATCTACTACCCCTGCTCACTCCCACCCTCTGAGGTCCCCACCCCCAACTCTGGTCCTTCCCTATCACTGTCACCCACTAGGTGGCACTGCAGACCCAGTATTTTACACTGGTCAACCTGATTTGGTGGCCCCCCAATACCAGTCTATCCAGGCCCCTTTCCTGCTACTGCCCAACACCACTCTGGGGGCATCTTGACTTTTTTTCCTTGCATCTCTTGCTAAGCCAAAAAAGATCTCTTTATGTCTGCTTCCCTCCAGTATGTATTTACTGGAAATATTTTTTACTAGCACATGTTTATTTGGACTAGTCACATTTCAAGCGCTTGGAGCCACAGTTGGCCGGAAGCTCTGCTCAGATTGGGCTGGGCCTGGGTTCCTTCGTCCAAGGGACAGCTCCCACATTGTAACCTGACACCTGTGCACCTTGGAAAGCTTTTTCTCTCTGAAAGGCAGTAGCTTATTTTCTGAACCTCGCAGGCTGGGCCACCCACGCAGTACATTTCCCTGCCATTCTCCTGGCTTGAGATATAAAGAGCCCCCCTGAGGTCTGAGATGGAGAAAGTGTCTCCCTAGAGGGCTGCCTTTTACAAATAACAATGGTTTTCCCTTACTTTTAAAAGTTCCTTTTTTTATGGGGTAGAATAGTATGTGTAGGAGGTGGTCATATGTGCTGGTACACATGCAAGTTTGTGCTCATGTTGTGGAGGCCAGTGGTTGACAGTGGCTATCTTCTTCGACATTAAGTCAGCAGCTCACTAATTTCTGGACCAGCAGCTCACTAGTTCACAGGCTGGGGATCCCTGTTTCTGCCTCCTGAGGGCTGGCAGTGCAGAAAGGCAGTCATTCCTGCCCACTAAGCCATCTTCCTAGCCCTTGAATAAAAAATTATCTAATATAGCTTAATTTATCAAACATAAAAATTCACCTTAAATTCTCAAACATTGCCGGGCGGTGGTGGCGCACGCCTTTAATCCCAGCACTCGGGAGGCAGAGCCAGGCGGATCTCTGTGAGTTTGAGGCCAGCCTGGTCTACAGAGTGAGTTCCAGGAAAGGCGCAAAGCCACACAGAGAAACCCTGTCTCGAAAAACCAAAAAAAAAAAAAAAAAATTCTCAAACATTTTCTAAGCTTACTAGTTCCCGGGTGTGTCTTCAGCACCCAGGTCCCACTTCGGGCAGGTCCCACACGTGACTCCTCCTCAGGACTGGCGTCCCTTCCAATCTTCCCTCCAGCCAGCTCTCTGTGGCTCCCCTTCTACCTCTGCTAGAAGCAGTATTTCTGAAATAAACTTGAAACCAACCAGAGCCATCTCCCCCGACTAACATGGCTGGTTTTGCTCCTTGCCAGCCCCAGGACATAGGCCAGGGATTGCTAGCTGACTGAGATGACTGTTCCTTCCCATCTGGGCCTCTATTTCTAAATTATAAAAGCAATAGGTTTGAACTCCATGGTCTCAGCGGCCCTCCCAGCTCTGGTTTCACACATCAGGCATGACTCTGGAACTTCAAATGATTACATATGCCCCCTCCAAGCTATGCTCCTCTATACACCTTGGTGGCTTTGGGGTCTGGTGAAACCAAGGGCGGAGACAGGGAAGGGAAGGAGAATGAGATGAAGAGAACGGAGGAGGCAGAAACAGAGGAGGAAAGAGAGTCTGAGGAAAGACAGGCGGAGCCTCTGGCCCTTTCAGAGCTGGCATCTGTCAGAGAAATCCCAAGAGGGTCTCTGTCTACAGCTCAGCACCGTAAGCCATGGAAGGCATGAGACAGAGAGGCATTTACCCCACAGGCCCCTTCGTCAGCTCTTGGTGAGCTGTTTAGAAACTTAGGCTTGGGCCCCACTGGGTCCTTCAGGGACCACATGGCCCTCACATCTCTTTCCCCAGGTAAGTGTTGAGGGTGAAGGTCTAGGTGGGAGACGATGGGCCCAGAGCCCAGAATTTCCCAACAGACAATAGGAAGCGCCAGGCTGCTTAGTAGAGGAGCAGGAGGCACTTGCTTTGGTGATCACTGTCTTTCCCCCTATCTAAGCCATGGCCCAGAGGAGCAGGTCTGGGACTGCAGAGGAAACCAGGGGCTGGCCCAAGTCCCTGTGGACTCTGCTGGGCTGGGCCGGGCCAGGGGCAAGATGCTGCTGGGATGATTCTCTGGGGAGAAGGGAATTGAAAAAGAGAGACATCTCCAAGGAGGGTGGAGAGCGAGGGAGGCTGTGTCACACACACACACACACACACACACACACACACACACACACACACACACACACACAGCTTCCCTGCCTCAGCCTCAGCCTCACTCACTAGAGAGGCGAGGAGAAGAACCCTCTTCCTCTGCTCTCGCCACTTGCTCTCGCTTCCCCGCCCATCTGTGCAGACAGCAGCTCCAGCAAAGTTGCCCTCAAACTTGAACGGAGCTGAAGCCTCCAGCTTCCTGGGAGCTTCTCACAGCAGCAGCAGCAGCAGCAGCAGCAGCAGCAGCAGCAGCAGCAGCAGCCTCCAGCTGTGAACTCTGCTAGCCTTGAGAAGCTCTTCTGAGTCTTCCAGCAGCCAGCTGGCCCCCAGGCCCCTGCAAAAACACATCCACCCTTATCCCGGAGGTTTGAAATCTGAGCTGGGGAATGGTGTGCTGAGGACCCTCTGGAGCACACTCTGCCTACCTGGACCTGAAGAAACCCAAGGCCCACACCAACATGGCCAACCCAGGGCAGCCTCAGTTTCAAGACCCAGGCTCCATCTCACCCCTGGAGCTGCCTGAGATGGAGAAGCTTCTCACCAAAGTGGAAAACAAGGATGACAAGGCTCTGGGTCTGTCCAAGTCTCTGTCGGGGGCTCTGGACCTGGAGCAGAATGGCCACAGCCTGCCCTTCAAGGTCATCTCCGAGGTGCACCGCCAGCCCTCCCTCCCTGGCTCCCCTTCCCGGGCCAGCTCTCGGCGAGCATCCTCTGTTGTCACCACCTCCTATGCCCAGGACCAAGAAGCTCCCAAAGATTACCTGATCCTTGCCATCGCCTCTTGCTTCTGCCCCGTCTGGCCCCTCAACCTCATCCCCCTCATCTTTTCTATCATGGTAAGTCCCGTGCTTTGTGCGGGGGTAGAGGGAACAGGTTTGGGAACCCCAGGATGGCAGGCATGTCCTCTGGGAAGGGACTTAAGTGCAGAGAACGATGGGGTGGTGGAGCCTTGGTGAGAAACAGTTTCTTATCTCCTGACTTCCCTTCTAGAGGGACCGAAGGCTCCGTTCTGTTTCTTCTTTCTTCATGCCTGCCCCCCGGGTATCCCTGGGAAAGTTCTTCCTGACCCTTCTGGCAGAAGCATTCAGGGGTACATCTGGAGTGAAATTCTGCAGTAGAGAGTGACAGCCGATGGGGTGGGGGGGGTCTTGATTGCTTTTTGAGGTGTAGGGGGGCTGTCTGAGTGGAGTTCTGTATCAGCAGAGAGTGTAGCCAGAAGAGGGCTAAGGGGTTCTGAATGCCCCAAGGAGAGGCAAGCCTCTTGGGCCACCAGGGCATTATACCAGCTGCCTCTGTTTCCAAGAGCCACAGTGGCCTTGCTGCACTGGGATCCTGGGGCCTGACTTCCCTTGGGGCCCATGGGGAGGGAGGGAGTTGTCAGGGTGCTGGGGGTTGGGGCACAATGGAGATCTCGAGGCTCTGAGTCTCCTGATTTTCCAGATTCCACCAGCTGGTTTTTTTGTTTTGTTTTGTTTTTCAAGACAAGGTTCCTCTATGTAGCTGTGGAGCCAGTCCTGGAAGTTGCTCTGTAGACCAGGCTGACCTCGAACTCACGGAGATCCGCCTGCTTCTGCCTCCCAAGTGCTGGGGTTAAAGGCGTGTACCACCACTACCCAGCCCAGCTGGCTTTTGCTGGAGGTCTGGGCACAAGTCAGAGGGCATGGCCAGCCTTGCCAAGGAGGGGGCATGTGAGCTAGTCTTGGCTTCTGCAGGACTCTGAATTCTGTCTTGGGTTGTCCTCAAGCGAAGTCACTGGGTAGGGCAGCTACTTCCAGAAGATCTCACAGAGAATGTGTGCCGACAGACAGGGCTAGAAAGTACAGAGACTTTGTACTTTGAGGTTGGGGACAGCGGGAGAAAACAGGCTAGTTAGAGCCAGAGAGCTGGGTGGGTGACACCGTCTCCTTTGGAGTGACAGTACTGCTGAGTCATTGATTATCAAGCCACCAGGAACTGTGGTCACTCCTTCCGTACTTCTTCAGACATCTCTGTCCACTCCATTAGGTTCCCATATGATCCAGAGCCACCTGACAGGCCATGGGGACAGTGGCGGCATCTCGAGTATAGAGGCTTAATTCAGGAGACAGGGCGAGGCAGGGTCCCGGGCAGGGCCCATCTAAACCTCCCGGGCTGCCTGCTGCACTTGGGGACCACGCCAGGCTCCAGGGTGTAGCTAATGGCTCTGGGCAGAGCCAACTTCTTGGTTACAGAGAAAGATCCCAGGAAGGGGGACAGGAGGGAAACCACACAAGAACTCAGGAGAAAACAGATTCTAGAATTATCTTCTGGGAACTGGGGGCAGGGTGCGTTGTCCTTGCCCGAAAGAAGCTGGGTTGAAGACCGTGAGACCACTGGACCTATCTCTGTCACTTCTTTCTCTTTTTCTGTATTTGAATCGGGTCTGATGGGCTAGGAGGAAGGGACAGGGCTCTAAACCAGACACTGGGACAGAGTCCCTGGGGCTGCTCTCCAGGCAGAGAAGCTTCTAAACAGGTCCTTAGGACATACTGCAAGAAGTGCCCAGGCCAGACACAAACACAAGGGAATTAAGTCATCTTGGGCAAGGTACTCAACCTGCCATCAGTTTACCCATCTGCAAAGTGGGCAGAAAGCCTAATGTTTGCATTAAAGAGCTGAGAGAGGCTGAGATGAATCCCCACAAAGTGCTTAAGAACAGAGCCCAGCCCAATGTAAGTGTGTTCTGTGGTCACAGCGACTAAGTGTTGTAGGGAGTCTCCCTTCTGGGGGATGAGAAGTCACTGTGGGCCTTATTTATTTGTTTTTTGGATTTTTGAAACATGGTCTTGCAATATAGCCCAGGCTGGCCTCAAACCCATGTCAGTTCTCCTGCTTCAGCCTCCCAATGCTAAGGTGACAAGAGCAGGCCACTACACCCTTCATTTTCTAACGGGGTTTAAAAATAGCTTTATTAATGTAGTGGTTTATTAATGTAATTCATAATGTAATGCTTTATTAGTGCAATTCATATATAACTCACCCACCTAAAGTGCATGGTTTAATGGATTCCCTCTCCTTGCCCCCCTCCTCTATCTCATATGTAGCCCTGGATAGCCTAGAACTTGCTGGATGGACCAGGTTGGCCTTGAACTCAGAGATATGCCTGACTCTGCCTCCCAACTAAAAATAAAAAAAAAACTAGCCAGGTGTGGTGGTGCACACTTCTAAAACCAGCACTCAGGAAGCAGAGGCAGGAGAGTCTCTGTGAGTTCAAGGCCAGCCTTGTCTATACAGTGAGTTCTAGCACAGCCAGAATTACATAGTGAAACCCCATCTCAACAAACAAACAAAATAAAGCAAAACAACACCTAAAGATTACATACGACAATGGAATGCCATGTACTGTTTCATATAGTATACACGGTGTCATATTCAAATTAGGTTAAACATTGATATCTCCTCACCATTTCCTTATTGTAGAAACTTTCAGAACACTTTCTTATAGTTTTAAAAATGTATAAGCTGGACGGTGGCGGTGCACACCTTTAATCCCAGCACTCTGAAGGCAAAGGCAGGCAGGTCTTTGAGTTTGAGGCCAGCCCAGTCTACAGAGAGAGTTCCAGATCAGCCAGAGCTACACCGAGAAACCCTGTCTTGAAAAAAAAAAAAAAAAACCAAACAAACAAACAAAAAATGGATAGTGCATTGGGTTGGGGAGAAAGCTCAATTCGTAAAGTGCTTTTCTTGCAAGATGAGGGCCTGATTTCAAACCCACAATTCACATAAAAAAGCTGGGCACTACACATCTGTAATCCTGGTGCTGGGGAAGTGGGAATAGGCAGATCCCTGGGACTTGCAGCCAGCTTAGGCAACTTGCTGTACTCCGAGCAGATGGCTGGGGATGTAGCTCAGTGGTAGAGCACTTGCTTAATTTGCCCAAGGCCTTGTGTTCAATTCCCAGCACACACACACACACACACACACACACACACACACACACACACACACACACACTCACACACACACACACACACACACACACACACACACACACACACACACATGCACTACCCATCATGGTTGCCCTAGTTGGGGCTATATGCACACATCCCTGCCCCTATTTGTCTTGAGACACTGTGGCTTAGGTCTTGAGGGTGTGGACATCCTCCTGCCTCAGCCTCCCTAGTCCTGTGCCTGGCTTGTGGTTCCACCCAAGCTGTTGCAAATGATAGCACCCCTCCTCCTTTATCCTCTTTATGGCTGAATGGTCATTGCATGGTTTTCGGTGCACTCAACAAGTTACATCTTAACCCCAGCTGATTGTAGAATACTTTCCTTGTCTTCAAAAGAAACCCTGTGTGTGTGTGTGTGTGTGTGTGTGTGTGTGTGTATGTGATAGATATTTCTTGTGTCCTGGATTCCTCCCAGCCCAGGGTGGCACCAATTTTCCTGTCTTCAGAGTTGCCTATTCCAGGCACTTTAGAAATGGAATTATGTATAGCTGGGTGGTAGCAGCCCAGGCCTTTAATCCCAGCACTCAGGAGGCAGAGATAGCCAGATTCTGAGTTCGAGGCCAGCCTGGTCTACAGAGCAAGTTCCAGGACAGCCAGGGCTGCACAGAGAGACCCCGTCTTTGGTCTTTTGTGACTGACTGCTTTCACATACACAGCCTTCATATGTCACCTGCGGTTAAATTTCCATCAAGGTCTGGGGGAGGGGATAAGAGAGACTGAAGGGTCTGGCTGAGCATGGCATTCAATGCACCTGGTGGTACAGGTCTATAATTAAACTACTGAGAAGGCTGAGGCAGGAGGATTGTAAGTTCAAGGTCTGCTTGGGTCACAGAGTAAGCTCAAGGCTAGCTTGAATGATTTAGGAATACCCTACCTCAAAATTTTCATTTTTTTTAAAGGGCTGGGTTACAGGTCGGTGATAGAGCACTTGCCCGGCATGTGCCAGGTGCTGGGTCTCGTCCCCAGTAATAACAGCAACAACAACAACCACAACCACAGCAACACCAACAAGAGTGGTAGAGGTTTGAGACCTGGACCAGGCTTACTGGCAGCGGGAAGGGGTGGCTTCTGGGAACCCCCTAAGATGTGGATCCACCCACCTTCCACTCATTTGGTTCTTTACTGACTTACTCATTCATCTTGAACGGCCAGTTGCTTGTTTGGAGGGAACAGAGTAGTACGGGATACCGCCTTCACATGGGTGAGCGAGCCTGTCTTAGGAAACAAGCAGGTGCTAGACGAAGAGGTAGATGGCTAAGATAAGTGGCTGCTGTTTGGCATTGCAGGAGGGGACTAGAGTGTGCTGGGGGCTGTTGAAAGGCAGGGACTCGCTCTTGGAATTCAAGCCTCTGAAGAGCCCCTGGGGAATTTTAGGCTGAGGCACAATGTGGTCAGTTCATATTGCAAAACCAACCTTCAGTTGCATGGTGGGAAATGGGTTACTGGAAGGAGATCCCATGTATAGGAAGGGATGGGGATGTCTGAGCTCTAGATGGACTGGGAAGGAAGAACACGAAGGCCTCTGTGTGTGTGTGTGTGTGTGTGTGTGTGTGTGTGTGTGTGTGTGTGTGTGTGTGTGTGTAGCATGTGGTCAGGCCCCACCTCAGGGATATTGGAGCCTGTTCTCAAAGCTAGCTCTGGGACTGTCCACATTTATAGAGTGGAGCTGCATGTGGCCCACAGGCCTGTCATCCTAGCACATGGGATGTAAAGGCCAGAGGATTGCTGTGAGCTCAAGGTCAGAGGATTGCCATGAGGTCAAGGTCAGTCTTGGCTACCGAGTGAGTCCTATTAACTAGCCTGGGCTACAAAACAAGATCCTGTCTCAAAAACCAAACCCAACCCAAATCAACCAACCAAAGAAC